TTGGTCTGGTGGCATGGCTTATCTCAATGGAGATAGAAGTAATGCCAAACAACATTTTGGGCAAAGCAACAGCAACGTCTACATGGAGACATGCAGGTAGCAAACTTTCAGCCAGAAATGTTATGTATTGCACCTTTAAAGCCACTGTACTCTTTGTTTGTTTTTTTGTTTGTTTGTTTTATGTCAGTGTCTTCATTTAATTAAAAGTGCTTGCCTGCAGGTTAACAGTTATGAGTAAAATGAAGAATAAGTGTACATTTGAAAATGCTAAAAAAAAAAAAAAGAGTAAAAATTGACTAATTTGTGTGCTGTTGTGTTCTAAAGTTTTATTGCGACTAAAATTTTAAATCAAGTGTGACTTTTTTTTTTTTTTTGACATCAGATCATTGTTGCACTTGCTCAGCTCTCCTGCACTACCTGCCTCTGGATTAAGAAGTCAATTGAGGCTTAGTATGTCAATGGAAAGAGTCTATAACGTATTAGGCATAGACAGTGTTTGTTAGTGCTGGGAATCATTAAGTAACAGCTCAGCTATTGACTTTGTATGGACTGACCAGAAGCCAATTTGACAAACTTTGGATCAGAAAGAGGTATTAGCACAACAAATTTACTTATAGGGCATTCATTCATTCATTCATTCATGCTGAGTTAGCTGATAAGAAAAAAAAATGATGATAAGGAACATGACAGACATAATGAATGTTTCAAAAATATTGAAACTAACCTGCACGATCAACTCCAGGATTGTTTTCGCATGGATGTTAAAAACACTGTGAAGCACTTCCTGTATTACTACATGACATCACAAGGTGGGACAGATTGTGAGAGAAGAACCCAAAATATGCAGGGTTTGTGTATTAAACACGTGAGTGAAACAAAACACAACTCCAGGTATGTTTGTAATGACGTAACAATGTTATAACATAGATCAAAATGAGCATAATATGGACAGTTTAAATTGACTGAGACAATTAATGTTTACATGTCAAAATTTAAGCCAGACTCGTATCTGGTCTGGTGGGGTATATAAAGCCTAGTGTGTGAGTATATCTTTGGTGTTAAACCCAACAGAGACAGTGCGTATCACCACAATCTTATCTCCAACAGCTGCTCGGGTCCCAGGTCTCAGATTGGACAGTGCTGACCAGGAAGAACCACAACAACACACAGCCTGAGTACAGCATGTTCCTCAGGAAGGCAGGCTCACAGCTGCTAAAGCAGCACATGAAGCCAATTATTTTGTTTCACACATTACATACCATATATATGATCTATTTCCACCAATTTCAAGATCTACAGTGGTAATATAGTTGTAATGATCAAGTTGTGAAACCTTATTTCATTGTACATTTTTGTGTATCATAGCAAATGCAGCCCATGACTAGAATTTCACTGATGAGAACCTGGTGGTGGAGGGGGAGAGGAAGACTATATTTTCTTTTTTAAATTATCTTTGAAAATGTAAAAAAGTCCCATTCTGCAAAATTATTTTTTACTGCATCATAGTAACCCCAAAACACTGGTGACTTACAATTTCAAATTAATTATCACAACAATAAATAATGCACAATATCTGGTGTGATGGTGGTATGAGAAACACAAATGTTCTAATCATTTAATATTGTAAACAAAAAGCCAGACTTACTCATAGTATGGTAAGTAACCAAAATTTTTACTGAAGTACTTTTAGCTTTTGAACTTGTTGTTCTCCGATCCAATGACACATCGCAATCCATAATGTGGTTATTTCTTTTACATCTTTATGAAAAGAAACACATTAGAAGAATAACTGAACCTAACCAGAGAGTCATGGAAAAATAAAACATAAGCACGGTAATCAATCCATACACAAACCTCCACCAACAGCTAGTACACCCCAAAAGATAAAATCCCACAAGAACAAAAATGCAACACCATCTACGAAATCCAATGCAAATCATTCAATAAATAATACATAGGAGAAATGGGTCGGGCATTTTACATCCGATCAAGTAAACATCAGGGAGACTCACCAGAACACAAAAAGACAAAGCAGAGTAGGAAAACCTAAAATCCGCCATATATCATCCCACTGTAAAAGAAATAACCACATTATTAATTGAGATGGAGAATGGGTCACTGGATTTGACAACAACAAGTTAAAATGCTGGATCAGGGAGGCCAGGAAATCATCAACACAACTTGATGATCATCAGGATTTCATCAGGAAATGGAGCATGGACACCATTAACTGTGATGACGGAGCGTTCCTCCTTTCACACACCTGGAACACCCTCCCCCAGGGACCACCGGGTGACGGGAGGCGTGGTCAGTCTAAGCAACCTGCCTCATCCATCAGCTTGACCATGCCTACAGGAAGTACAACAGCTAATATACGACACGTCGCTACCAACACCAGTGACAGTAAAAGGTAAATACACCTCCTACTGTATTGTCTTTAAAAAGAACCCAAGAAGTTAGTTACTTAGTTACTGTGTATATTTTGGCATTACAAAATATACATAGTAACTAAGTAACTAACTTAGTAAGTACTATGTATATATATATATATATATATATATATATATATATATATATATATATATTAGTATGCAGCCTTTACTCTGATATAAGCAAGTGTAGTGTTTTGAAGCATGTCCTCACAGGATGTCTAAAAACAAATCCTCTCTCTTGTAGTGCCCACAGTGTACTGAGACAGTATCTGAATGCATATACAATCTCTATAGTGCACTAACTCTCCCCATCTCCATTCAGCATCTTGCATAATAATCCTCCACAATGCTTTGTAGTAAACATGTCAGATTGTAGCATTGCTCTGCGACTGCTCCCTGCTATTTGCATAATCCCCTATAAAAGCCCATTCCTTTTTTGGTGTCCAGTCCACACACTCGGCCCATGATTAGTGATTAGCCCGATGATGAAGCCATTATTGAGTGAACCTGAGCTGAGCCTCATGGAACATTAAATACATCACTTCCCCTCCAGAGGCCAGTGTGTGCCTGCCTCTCCCTCCTGCCTCAGCCAGGAAATCCAAACAGCCATTAACACCAAAGCTACCATGGAGGCATGTTGGGTCTACATTATATGCTTTTAGCACTTGAAACATGGGTGCTTACTGAGATACACTGTGGAAGAGAGCTTCAGCTATCACTCTAATAGGAAGTAGCTAGTTGTGGCCATATGTAAGTAAGTCCATAGGCCATAAGTAGAAAAGCTGCGACTAAATACTTATTTTAAATATACAGTGTATAGAACATAAATGTGTTGCGTGTCATCTTTGTCTATATAATTATTTAAAGTTGTAAGTTTATGAAGGAATGATCACTGCAGCAATAAGCATGTTTTTATGTTTTATAGGAAACTGATCAAAATCTAAATATGTCACTCTTGGTCCATATCATAATGTTAAACCAGTCATTTGGTCTTCGTACTGCTACTACAGCTAATATACTTTGCTTCATTGCCACTAACATGTATGCTGTTTTTCATTGTGACAGATGCTACTGAATCTATGTTGTAGCTAGAAGAATGTTATAACTGGAAGCCTCAACTATCAGATGAAAGCTGTCTTTATTGTGTGCAGGGAACTTGATTAGGACCAAATAGGCTATTGACATTTCATGCATTATCTTCTTTGTGTTCACTTGGTAGCTAAGACTTTAAGGTCCTACAGGTATATTACACAAAATTGACTTTTGTGAGCTTTAAGCCATGTCAGAATACTGTTACCTTCTCAAAAACATATCTAGAGTTGTGTTTTGTTTCCTTCATACATGTTTGAGTAATGTCTTATTAATCTCCCTCTCTGAAGCTCAAAATGCTTCGTTCCACCTTGTGATGGCATGAAGCAGTAGTTGTCAATTTAACAGCTACCTTTTACATTGTGTTTAGTAGAGATTGGAAATTCATGTGGGCTGACATTTTCCAAATTATTCTATTGAAGATCCATGGAGTTTATACAAGGGAGCACTTCCTCTATTACCACATGACATCACAAGGTGGAACAGTGTTTTCTGTTTGAGAGAAGAACACAGCTTAAATATGCAGAGTTTATGGGTTAAACGTGTGAATGAAACAAAAGACAAATCCAAGTATGTTTTGATGATGAAACAACATTATAACGTAGATCAGAAAAAGTGTAATATGGGCCCTTTAATATGTCAAAGCTACTTCACTCCACATCTGTTTAGCTTCACAACCAACCACATGTACCATATCACAGCATTTGAATTGTAATGGTTTTGACCCCTGCTCATTTTTTTAGCCACATAGATGTTAAGTTACCTCATATCAGTTTTTCCCCATGAATAACAGCTTTAGGCCTGCTAAGATTTCCAACCACACCCCATCTCCTTCCTCCACGGTGAAAAGATCTGCTCCACCACCAACACCACCGTCTGTCGGCCAAACAACCTGCTCAGTAGCGCTCATCAGGGGCCTATGTAGACCATAATGTCATTGTAGCCTGCACTATTGACCATCTCCCCCCCCACACGAGAGAGAAGTGGGAGCACACAAACCTCCAACTGACTACTCCACCCTGAGCTATGGCTTGGCTTAGAACAGCTCCTGACAGTGGGTTTAGACTCATTTGTATATGTGTAATAGCTAGATTCATAGCTAGACATAGTCACAGCCCATACCCAAAGAAGCCCCCTCTGCTGCACCTGTAACACAACTGACCTGGTTTCAGGTCATCTCCACAGGCACTGACAGGAATTCGTCTTCATTTATTGATCGACGGCATCAGTATCAAAGCCAGTGGTGTTTCTGATAAATCATTATAGGCCCGTATGGCTAGGCTGCACTGTGATTGGAAGGCTACATCTCAGCGCCTCTCAAGACTGACGCTCACCAGTGATGGCAGAGCAGAGGAAATGAATCGCTTTTGCTGATGGGTGAGGGCTCACTACAAAGGCATTAGCTACTGTTGGTTGTAATTGGCAGCTCGCTTTAAAACACTTGGATCGATTAAGTTAACGGGAAAAGACAGCGCTTACTTTAGCATGGCTTGTTCTTTCTCCTCCTCCTCCTTCTGCCGAGCCATCACAGCCATAATGATCTTCCTCTCCTCCTCGGTGAGGTGGCTAAGGTCCGGTAAATCCGGCATGGATGGCGGCGCGGTGGGTGGGCGAGGGCCGCCTTGGGGCCCCACCGAGGCGGACATCTTCTCCACCACGACCCCTCCTCCACCTCCACCGGCTCCTCCTCGGCGTGTCGTTTCGGCTGACAGGATCCCGGAGCGTTACCAGCCACACCTCACGACATCTCGGCCGAATAGTGCAAGTCGCTCATGGTAGCAGGCACCCGCGGTTGTGCTTGAGTTTGTTCTCGTTCGGTTCTCTGGCGGTGTCGGTCCCCCCCACCCCCCGCTGGCCCTCCTTTCCCCTCCACCGCCGGGTTCAATCACGGGGAGTCCATGCTTTAGATTCGAGATGAAGGGCCCCTGTTTAGTCGGCTGCGCGCGCTGCCTCCCTCCGCGTTGTACGGACTGTGGATGCCTGTGGGGCGGTAGGCGATAGGCGGAGCCCGCTGCTCGCTTCCTCTCTCTCTTCACTCAGTCAATGGGAGCGCAGCCCTTGCTCTCCTCCTTTTTTTTGCGGAGGCGAGCTTACTCATTTGAGAATGGGGTCCTCACATCAGCATCACATGCATGCATTTAACCCTCACCTCATGACGGCCTGGCACTAGCTCCACTAGAATACTGTAGCCACCTGGAACACCGAGTTCCCACGCGATGTACTTTCTAAATATTAATAATCACTAAATCACTAAAAACATATGAACTTGACCAGGCTATAACTAGACTTTATTACACAAATTTTGTGTTCTCGCTAAAGTAAAAAAAAAAAGTGTAGACGGCAACACGGCGTTATTGGATTCAGCACCATGGACAGCAGCGTTTTGTCAAAGGATGAGATTTTTAGAGGCTAGACAGAATGACCGTAGTAAAACTGTGCGCGAAATAGTTGACATTATAGTGATTAATCCAAAGCATATTTTACGCTTGCAGTCTTTTTGTGGGAACACAGATGAGTTGCCTCATCAGCAGACTTTCAACACGCCTAAGTTTACTTTGGGCTCAGCTTGGTTATATTTAGTTCTTTGGAGCTATCGTTTGGATATCGTAACCTTCTGTGAGTCTAAAACTGTTATAGAAGTTTAAGATAGTGAAGTTGCCAAAATACGTAAACTATTTACGTAAAGAATCAATCTGTAGTGACTGTACTTGTACTGACGTGTACTGGCTTAGGTTGTGTTGATAATTTATACAAACTGCAAATTATTATCAATGAGCTTAAAATTCCCGAATCTGCCCTTCCATATCCCATACAGTCCTTCTTTTCTTCAGTTTGAGATGGTCACGCTTTCTCTGTCTGTACGTGAAGTTTTGGGGGAGTAGTAGGCTATAGTTTTAGAGTGCTGTTGAGTGAGTCATCGCAGCAGAGGTAGGTGCGTGCTCAAACGGAGAGTCCAATAATAGCCTAGAGAGAGTTACTACAGCGGCTCGTTAACATGCAGGTCCAGACTCCCGGGCTACACCGACCTGGCACCGCGCGGGCTCCTCTCCTCCTGGTGACGTCATGGCGGTGGCGTGGCGGAGAGTGTCCAGCAGATGGCGCCATTACACCCGTGCGTTACACAGAAGTCGAGTCTGCGCCGGTCTTCTCTCACCCGCCACCGGCCGCCGTGAGTCTGACGTCACGGAAAGGGGTGACTGTACGGCGGTGACGTCAGCTCCGTCCGTGGTGCAGGATTTTGTCATCATATACGGAGTCGTGACTGTTGTGGATCATCGAGAGCGTGGATTGGCACAGGCGCTGTTTAATGCGGACGTGTGCAAAACTTCAAAGGACACGCCATACCCACGACCCATTCCGGCATTCCACGTGAACACGCAGCAAACGGGAAATATGCTTCATTAGTTCATCTACAGCATTGGCCAAGTCAGTGAAATGAAAATCGTAACATTATATAGCCCATGCCAAGTTGGTTGTGTTAAAGAAACGATGTGAGCAAGTGAATTCCTTACTAGGGAATATGACCTACATAGTTTAAGGCTATGGGGCTGTGGCTTATTATCACATAACATACCGGACTACTACGATTGACTGAAGACTAAACTATACGGTGATTATTATTGTAACTGAATTTGGAGTTGGATATTTCTATTTTTATTATTAGCTATCTTACGGATCATGTGTCCCCACTTGTGCCTTTGCTTTAAAGATTAAACATAAATAGATTTTTGTAAGAAGAGTAAAAGTAAACTTATTTTTCTTTCCTTTTCACTGATGGGTCATATGTGTAATTTTGGTCTAACCATTAAGAAGGTCCATCATAAAAATTGTAAACTGTAAAAGCATCGGCATCTAGTGGACAAACGAAGCACTGCATATGTTCAACATATTTTTAAAACTCACTTGACTTTCTTGACTTTCTTCATTTATTACATTACAGGCCTACATCATTTCATACAGTAAAATGTGATGTACATATTAATAGGTACTTTTACTTTAAACTAAACCTATACAGCACTTATAGATTATTAATACAATCCATTTAGTACAATCTTACTGTCCTATTCTGTATATAAACACTCTGAAGCAACTGTTTCCACTTTTACAAGTTTGGGAATGGCAAAAAAAAGTCTTTAATAGACTCAAAAAGCATCAAACAAAATTATTGACAAAACATATTTATTATTTTCAACAAATCTCCATGTTTTTCATCCATAATTCTGAAATAAATTAGAATTTAATTTTACATTTACTTTAATAGCTTTTCAATTTTGCTCTTAACCAACACACAGTGCTATCCATTGTTAAACTGTAATCATTTCAGCACTGACTTCTTTTGCCTTCTATGGGTCTCAATTTTTTTGGTTATACACATAAAAACCCACCCATTGTTGCTGGGTTTCAGATGACATCAAAACATTATACAGGTTCAAAGTTTATCAGTTTATCTTTTGGATATTTCTTATTCAGTGTTGTCAATAAGCAAAACTACAGTTGAGCGTTGCTGCGCTCCTCTCTGCGGGACACTACCTTTCCATTGACGAGTTCTTCAATCAATACCACTGTTCTTTGAGTTATAACCGGCTCACCTGCAAAACAACAATATGTCAGTATGTTTGAAGAGGTAGTAGATGCTGATGAATTTGATTCTCAAAATGTAACTTACTTTTTACTTTTCTGTTAAAAGTAGAAGAGAGAAAATATATTAGTATACTGGTTTCAGGTTTACATCAAAATTATTATGATCAAAAAGGTAAAGGTCTCATATTACATCAAATGAATTCTTATGAGCTTTACGTAATTTCATAATGTTATTACCTTATCAAAAGCATACGGGGAGTTGGGTTTTATTCACACATCTTCCTTTATCATTAGTCTGTCTACATCTCCAAAGTTCAAATTGCTCTGTTCCACCCAGTGATGTCATGTGGTGGTAGTTTTCAAGTTAACAGCCTCCTTTTGCCTTTAGTTCAGTAGAAATGGGCAATTCCAGTGCTGAAATAGTCAGCCTAAATATTCAGGGTTTGTGTGTTAACCATGTGTGAATGAAACAAAACACAACTCCAGGTATATTTTTGATGAGGAAACAACATTAGATCAGAAAATATCATAATATGGGCCTTTAAGACAAACTTTTCTGTTGTGTAATTATATTAAAATAGGAACCTTTAATAGACAATAAACTTTATAACATGCAGATTCACATTCCTTGTCATAGTTACTAAATATTGATTTTATTATGACATCAGAGTAACTACCTGAATCCAAGTTGAACACTGACTAGCAGCTTTAAACATACTTTAAACTGAGTGCACTAACCACTCTGCCACTAAACTTCAACAAGCCATTATCAGTTTTTATAATTATACATCGATTGTTCTCTTACGTCACTTCTTCTCCATCCAGCAGCCTCCTGTACTCTGCAATCTCCAGCTCCAATCTGGTCTTGATGTCGAGGAGCATCTGGTACTCTCTGCCCTGCCTCTCGATGTCAGACTTCACCTGGCCCAGCTCGAGCTCCACAGAATCCACCATGCTCTGAAGCTGGCTCATCTGCAGACTGTAGCGTGACTCGGTATCACGCAACTGCTCCTCCAGAGCGGTTTTCTGTTAGCACAAAACAAACAGAAAAAAAGAGAGGGAGAAACACAGAGAGAGATATAAAGAGGGAGAGAGAAGGAGAGAGAGACAGGTAGAGAGAGAGGATAAAGGGAGAGGAAAGGAGGAAGAGAAAGAAAGAGACAGACAGAAAGAGAGAGAAAGAAAGAAAGACAGAAACACACAGAGAGAGGGGGTGGAGATATAGAGTGAATCAGAGAGACAGAGGAAGAGACAGAGATATATAAAGACAGAGAAAGAGAGGGAGACGAATAGAGATAGACAGAGAAAGCGAGGACAGAGGGAGAGAGGGAGGGAGGAAGGGAGAGAGAGGGAGAGAGGGTGGTGGTTAACTACAGGCTAATTGCATTGCTAATTGCTTTTCCTACTTGTCTTCCCACGTGAGTAGCCACAGGTCAGTGTATTGACTGTTTGAGGAGTTACATTTGCTAAAGGTCTGGCTCTCTGAATTATGTCTTTGTTTTAAACTAGGTTAAGTAATCAGATTACGTAACAAATATTTAATGGTACTGCAGAATATTAGATGGACAGGACAACTGCTTATAAGATGATTACTAAATAATATTTTAATTTTATTTTAATTATGTTACAAAATAAAACATTTATTTCGTATTTTTATGACTCTCATATTTGACCTAGATACTTCTTTGTCATTTCTTGGCTTGCTTGCTACCTTATTTATAACTATGTGTCACCTCTCTATATACTGCATATTGTATGTACATGCAGGTTAGTATCACATTACCAGGCTGAGTTGAGACTGTAGCTCAATCTGGAGGCCCTGCAGCGTCCTCTTGAGGTCATTGATTTGAGTGCGGGATACTTGGAGGGACTCTGAGCTGCTCGCCACTTCCTTGTTCAGGGTGTCAAACTAAAAAAGGGAAAAATGTTACATAAATAATATCATGAGAAATATGTAACATGCAATATTCAGAAGGAATGTACCAATAAACACAAATTTGCCTATGGCAGATTAATTAAAGCAAATTTACAAATTGTTCTAAGTATTTCAGTCATTATTGTTTGAAGATTTAGGCTATTTATTCTTAAAAACAGATTGCTTTTGTGTTGGATTTTACATAGGGCTGCAGTCCCTCCATGCTTTCGTTGATTAATCGGTCAAGAATGTCATGGAGTGAGAAAGAGTTGTGAATTATTCAGCCTTTTAATTTACTGTAATTTATGATTATACTAAATTATTATTTAGTGCACTTTAGGTCAGATATATGGTTGAATCAGGCACAGTTCAAGTTGAATTGACCAAGAATTTCTTTAGTTGATTACAGCCTTAGTTTCAAGTTGTCTGCAGTGAAATAAAGTAAAGGATCATGGTTTATGCAGTTCATTTTTATCATGCTGATGTAACACATTACAATTTGCAATAATGATCTGAGACTTTTAAAATAGTCATTATTGTTATATCTAATATTTAATAAGGCACCTTGACTTTGTACCACTCTGCCATCTCTCTGCGGTTCTTCTCGGTGATGGCCTCATACTGGGTTCGGATCTCATCCATGATCCTGCTTAGGTCCTCCTGAGGTTTAGCATCCACCTCCACGTTCACAGAGCTGCCAACCACCTGACTACGCAAGGCTGCCATTTCCTGGAAGAGAGGAGCGTAAGATCAACACACAAATTAACTAAATTACACAGCAAACATTGATTTCATTACTAAGCAGTGTGAGTGTAATAGCTCAGAGGATAGAGTATCACCAACCCAAAGGTTGGAGGTTTGATTCCTGCTTGGACAAAGTCCAGTCATCTTTTGGCAATACAGTTCACCCACCCTGTGTTGGTCGATTGAGGTGGTTGGTCAGAAAAAAAGATTTGCAGTCTACCCCAGGGTAGCTGAAGCTAGAGTAGCTTACCACCAAGTGTAGAGTGAATGAATAATGGCTATACTTTGAGACCAATCATGCAATCATAAGGTGACCATATTTCCGTTTGTGAAAACCAGGACACCGTACCATTATCGTCACTCAGCTACTCTCACCTGGCAAAGCTTTTTAATGTTTTTCGGTGTCCTGGTGAACTTTGAGGTCCCTGGCACCCCCACTGGACACCGAAACATATGTGCCTGCTTTGCACACTGTGCACATGGCCTCCCACTTGTCCTGACCAGAACGGAAAGCAGGGAATTTCTTGTACAAGTCATTGTTAAATGGGCATTGACAGACTGTCTGTGTCTGCTCGACCCTTCTGAGTGTACAGAGAGCTACGAGAGCCGGTCAAGTTAATAGCCCAATGAAAGATAATGAAAACCTGGACATTTCCATAACTTTATAACAGCCAGGACAGGAGGCAAAAAACGGACATGGAAAAAACAGATGTTTGGTCACCCTATGCAATCATGCTTTCTAAACCATCTTTAGAGTTGTTATATCTACTTATATGGGTTACTACAGTAACCGTCCCTTGCATAATTAAAATATTACATTAAAACACTGGATTTAGTTCATTCCTATGCATTTGATCGGACTTTAAATAATTCGTATTCATTTTATTTACTTGTTTGCAAAATGTCATATTGAAATAAAGTTGAATTGGATATGACAACATTTGGGACTTGCTTTCACAAGATCACAAGATAACAACACCTGTTAGCATAGTGCTATGTTATCTTTGTGAACTGGTTTTGAAACACTAGATATTTAAGAAGCATACAAAGTAAGCCCAAATGACAACAAGCAAATATTTGAATTGACTGTTGATTTCTGACCAGGATTTTGAACTTGTCTTGTCCTCTCACCTCTTCATGATTCTTTTTGAGGTAGACCAGTTCCTCTTTGAGACCCTCCACCTGCATCTCCAGATCGGACCGGGCCACGGTGAGCTCATCCAGTACTTTACGAAGACCAGCAATGTCTGCCTCCACAGACTGACGGAGAGCCATCTCATTCTCATACCTGTCAAAAAATGTCATAGTTAATTGGACAATATATACAAACCTGGAATGAGCCAAATGTAAATGCATGGAAAAAGAAATCTCATTATATAATTCTTCTCATGTGTGCACAGTTTTATCTCACAAGAGCTTGTGGCACAAAATATTGTCCTGTTCCTAAACAGTGTTAAAATACTTATGTTACTATATAAAAAGTTGTCGTTATGACAAGAATGAATTTTTATTTTTATGCTATAGTGGTTCTTTGGGAAGAAGTAAGCATAAACTATTTATAGATTCTAGAAATGGAACAAATATGTTTACATATGGGACTGAAACAAGAACCTCATCAAAATATAATCTTAAAGCGGTCAGAAATTACTTAAAACATTGACCTGAGTAATTCATTTAGTCTCCCTCAGCTTTTCAATGACATTCCACAGGGGTAAATGCTGTTGATACTATTGACTTGGTATCAACAAGCAGAAAGGTGAAGCGTCACTGAAACCTGTTACACAAGTCCCCTGTGTTGACTGTTACGCCCCTGCCCCATCGCACAGTAGACATTTTTCTATTTAGATGGACTATTTATAGTTTTATGTCTCTAAAAGGTAGTTTCTGTTTCTTGGCTTACTTGACTCTGAAGTCCTCTGCGGCCAGTCTAGCATTGTCAATCTGCAGCATGAGCCTGGCATTGTCCTGTGTGGCAATGGCGATCTGGAAAGATAATAGAAAAAAAATCATGAGGTTATTATGTCTCTGTGTGTACAATAAAATAACTAATAATAACAATAATGAAAGAGGAATAAAAGAAAACATTACATCATGTTTTACAGATGACTTGCATCGTTAAAAATAGAACCAGGAAGTTTCTACATTTGCTTAATCCCATTTGAATAAGCCAGACAAGCCTCATTGAATGGACCTAGGCTACCAGACTGTTAAGTACTTATATGAACATGAAAGCCTATCTAATATAGTGCTTCTAATACTACACACTAAAGCTAATAACAGTATTTTTCATTTCATAATAGTGTAAGAAAAAAGTAAAAAATTGTTAATAAAAGTTGTCAGATTTTGCCATGTCCTTTTTACTGACTGATATTTCTGCCATTAGCCTATTAGTTTAAGTATTAGACTAGGCCTATAGGCAGATTAAATCATTTTATTGTGTATTTAGTTAATTATTTAACTATTTATTTATTTCATTTTATTAAAAGTGTTCCCTTTTATGTTAAATTGATTGATAGATGCCTGTATTAAGTTGTCTAATACACCTTTTATGTATAGGCTTAGTGTTTAAGAATTTACAACAAAATAGGCCTATTATATTTCTTGAATGGAAAAAGTGAACCAACGAAGTTCATTTTATAAAAGTTATTTCACCTTTGTGCGCAGGTCAGTAAGGATGGCCTCGTACTTGCTGTAGTCCCGGACAGTGGGGGTTTGGTTTTCGTACCACTCCCGGATTTGCTTCTCTAATTTGGCGTTGGCATCCTCCAGTGAGCGCACCTTCTTCAGATACGCGGCCAGACGGTCATTGAGGTTTTGCATAGTGAACTTCTCACTACCGACGATGCCCACGTTGTCCATACTGCCGCCTCCTTGCAGCGCATAGGACAAGTCGAACCCTGATGCGAGTGGTCTGGTCGGGTAGGAAATTTTCACATGTGACCCCCCTGCGCCTCCGTACATGCTCGTACCCCGTTTGGTGGATGAGAAGGAGGGCACCGAGGAGAGCGACAGGGAGGATAATCCAGTGCGAAGTGCCATGGTGTCGGCTAGTTTTCCTGGTTTTTGGCGGTGGCTGGTCTCTGGTCCGAGCGGAGATGTTGCTGAGGCAGGCCGAGCGGAGTGCTTTATAGATCGGCGTGGAGAGGGAGTGTCCCGTGGTGTCACAGGTGGGTGGATGCTCAAAAACAATCAGGTGAGAAGAAACGGAGGAGGACTATGGGGATCCTACTGCTCTATTGAGAGGGAGTGGTCCAGGAATTCAGGTGTAGCCTATCTTTGAAACGGTCATTGCCAAATGTCAAGGCGTGCCAACAGTTCCCCATTCTCACATGGCATCTGATCTTTAATTAGGTCTGTTTGCTACCCTACATATAATTTGAGTGAGACTACGTAGGCTAATTTTTGCTGGCTGTGAAATATAGACTTAAGATACATAGCCATACTTTGATTGGATAAACTCCTTTGATTTGGAAGTCAGCTAGATAATAGATAATAGATAATAGATAATAGAATAGATAATAGATAGATAAGAAATTGATTGAGGACTTTTCTTGCAAATTTTTTACCCTTTTGGTGGTGTTTGGTGGCAGATTTACTGATTACTAACATATAGGCCTAAAGAGAATGTTTCTAAACAGAACACACATTTTTAACTTTTTATTTATTTAGTTACTGCGAGAGAAAAAATAAGCAATTTTGAAAACAGATTACATTTGGATAATGAAGCCTCAGCCTTTTTGTAGGCTATGGCCAAACCGTATCCAAACATATGTTGATGTTGAATATATGGTGGTAATAATAAAAAATGAATATACATTAGGATATCTGTAATTACCTCTGCGTGACTGTCAAGCCTGCTGAATTTGTCAAGCAAGACACAAGAGAATTCTAAAATCTCTTCCTGAGTATTTAGCACTAAAATAACAAAATGTTTCACTTGGGTGTTGTAGGCAAAAAGATCAAGGTTTTGGCTATGTTGTCAAAACAAATTAAAAAGTGATGATAGATCTGTCCTTGTGAATGTGACTCAAATTAAATAGTGTCAGATGGTAGTAAGGGTTTCAGAGGTGTAGCTATCTGGACCATGTTCTTTGAAAAGCATTGTCCAGATGACTTTACATTTTCTTCCGTGGAACACTTTTGGACTAACGAAGATTACACTAAGCCTAGTGTCTGGCTGATGATGATGGTTTGATAAAATATGTCAACCATGACTTTTAGTTCAACAAAACTCATGTTAAATTTCCCTTAGGGTTGTCAGAAGTATTGAAAATAAAACTAGTATTAAAACTAGATATTAATTTCAGCTGATATTGATACTAAAAAGTGGCATTCCCAGGAAAGGAATAAACCTTTCCTAAATAGATTTAGAATGATGAAAGACCAAAAATGTGGCTGTTTGCTACAGGTGTTCCAATCAGTAGGAGCAAAGAGGGTGCTCTTGGAAAAAAGGATCAAGACTCAAGACACAACGGATTCCAGGCACTCCAAAACAGTAGAAAAAGTAAACACATCACACGAGGAAAAATATAATTAAAGGCCTTTATTTGAATGGCCAAAGCCAACATGTTTCGACCTCAACTGGTCTTCATCAGGGCTTAATTAAGAACAAAGCATAGGTGTGGCCTTCAAATAGAACACATCAACCAATAGCAAGACTGGAGTAAATTGGAGGCAGACAAAACAGGTGCACAAAAACAGGACATGGTACAGGAAAAAAACAAAAAAAACAAAAAAAAAACATAAGGTTCCCATTATTACTGTTACCAATAATTTATAAAAAATTAAAATTAATATTTTTTAATATTTATAGTCTAGATCATAATTTATATATATATATATATATACACACACACATATGCATATGTGTGCATATGTATGTGTGTGTGTATATATATATATATATATATATATATATATATATATATATATATATTAAAAATTATGATCTAGACTATAAATATTTAAAAATATTAATTTTATTTTTTAATAAATTATTGGTAACAGTAATAATGGGAACCTTATGTTTTTTTTTTTTGTTTTTTTTTTTTGCCTGTACCATGTCCTGTTTTTGTGCACCTGTTTTGTCTGCCTCCAATTTACTCCAGTCTTGCTATTGGTTGATGTGTTCTATTTGAAGGCCACACCTATGCTTTGTTCTTAATAAAGCCCTGATGAAGACCAGTTGAGGTCGAAACATGTTGGCTTTGGCCATTCAAATAAAGGCCTTTTAATTATATTTTTCCTCGTGCGATGTGTTTACTTTTTCTACTGTTTTGGAGTGCCTGGAATCCGTTGTGTCTTGAGATTTAGAATGATCTTGAGCTGTATCAGAACAAGTATACAAGGTCAAATAGACCAGTATATGCCCATGGACCACTATGGAATCTACCTGGACATCTGAGGGACTACATAGATATAAGACCATATGGTTATAAAAGACATTACGATGATGAAAGACTGTTTTATGAAAGACTGTTTATGGAGTTCAAGATTTTTAGTATAGTGACAACACTAATATCCTCCCTACATAAAATGACTTTTATGTAGGGAGGATATTGTTTCTATCAACAGCAGTAGTTTTTGTTGTAATTCTGTAAATTGACAAAAATGTCACATTTTTATATAATGCTTTTCCACATTCAAGGTACTCAAAGCAATCACTCACCCATTCACACACACATTCACACACCAGTGTACACAGACACTGGAGGTGAGTTAAGTGTCTTGCCGAAGGACACATTGGCAGCATTCATCTGTGGGAGCTGGAAAAGCACCCCCAAAATGTGGGTCAGTGGGGTTGACGTCTCAACCAATGATGTTTATGTCAAGAGCAGGATTCATGCCACCAAATTTCACATCAGTGGACAAACACTCTACCAAGTGAATTTCTGTCCACCTCAAAAAATAAACACATTGCCAGTTCAGCTCTGCTTGTGCCACATTTTAAGTAATAAGCCACGTGTCAGTAATAATAAAAAAAGCAGAGATCACATACACAATGGTGCAAGTATCTGCCCTAAACTGGGTATCAAGAAATCTGAAAAACATAGTGAGTCAACATAGCTGTTACACAGTACATGCGTGCATTCTCTTTGAATGCTGAAATCCAATACTGAAAAAAATATATGTGTAGGCCTTTGCAGCCATTTGTACATAGATTAAGTATAAGTAAGCCTAGATTACGGATAAATTTGCTTTGACAACATACACTCATGTAGAGAGAGGCAAGCCAAAGAATGACCTCTCTGTGCCTCCTTACACGCCCGTACCCCGTCTTGTGGAGGAGAGCTGGGTAATTTTTAAAACAGATTTACATTTGGAGAATGAAGCCCTACCTTTTTCCAAACCATTTAAATAATTGTAATTTTTAATTTCTATTTTGAACAAAACTTGTCATTGAAAATGATGCTTGGTGATAATAAAAACATTAGGCTATCTGTAATTACTTCTCTTTGACAGTCATCTTTGTCACAGTCAAAACGCAGCCAAAAGAAATTTCCAGAGAATACAAAATTATCTTTCCTGTAGTTCTGCTTCTGCTGCCAAAATGGCAATAATAACTTTGCAGTAAAACTGAAAAATGTTTTACCTGGGTGTTGTAGGCAATACCCAGAAAACCCAGATTTAGAAAATCCTACCAAGGTTTTGGCTGGGGCCTTTGTCAAAAAAAATTAAAATGTGACGATAGATTTGTCCTTGTGGAAGTGACTCAAATTAAATAGTGTCATGAAATGGTAGAAAAGGTTTCAGAGGTGTAGACATTACACCGAACCTTGAAATATGTTTCAGTGATGGCTATGGTTTGATAAGACATGTCAACTATGACTTTTGGTTCAACAAACTCATGTTAAATTTCCTCTAGAGTTGTCAAAAGTGTCAAAAATAAAACTAGTATCAACTAGATATTCATTTGAGCAGATATTGATAATAAAAAGTGACATTCACTGGACAGAAATGAACCTTTCCTGAATAGCTTTAGAATTATCTTGAGCTGTATCAGAACAACTATTAGGACAGGTATAAGACCACAAGTCTAGTATGCACCCATGGACCGCTATGAAACCTATCTGGATCACTGAGGGGCTATAGATATATAAGACCACATGGCTATGTAAAAGAAAGTACTACAATTTAATGTTTAATGTCTTTTTTTCTTTTTTTTTAATCATCATTGGAAGAATATATTGGAAGCGGTGAAGTGAACAGCATTGAGCCAGAATTTTAGTATAGTCACAACTATAACAACAACTAATTTCCTATAAAAGTCTGTTGTTACATTGTTATCCACCAACGGCAGTAGTTTTTGTTGTAATTCTGTAAATTAAAAAAATAAACATAGTATCAATTCAGCTGTGATTGTGCTGCAAGCAATAAGCCATATGTTAGTAATAATAAAAAGAGGAGAGATCACATTTATAATGGTGCAAGTATCTAAACTAGATATCAAGAAAATGGAAAAAACACAATCAATACAGGCTTTACACAGTTTATTTGTTCATGTTCATTGAAAGCTGAAATCCAATACTGAAAAAATATGTATAGACCTTTGTAGCCATTTGCACATTAGTTAAGTATTAGTAAGCCTAGATTACTTATACATTTGCTTTGATAACATGTAACATACAACATTTTTGTGCCTTTTGTGTCTAAAGAAACCATTATATTTGTGAAAGTCATAAATTAAATTCAGTATTGACTGCACACCTGACTTGCTAAAGTAGACCACAGTGAATGAGTGAATGGACCTTTTGATTGAGAAGAAAGCCTGTCTAGCCTATTCTAAACTCTCTTGATTATGTTTTGTATTATTACAAGTGAGATCAAACACATCTGGCTTTTCCTTGTCACCCATGTGAACTACACCCATACCCCACCCAGGGCCCCCTCTTCGGGTAGACTGTCCTGGGACAGTGCCGGGAACAGAGATTCGAATCAGGTCTAGACTTGTCTGGCATCTGGAGGTATGTGCCCATCCTTCCTTGAAGCATGGCACTCCTAGTATAAGTATTTTACAAGTTTGTATCCTCAGGTGTATTTCATAACATATAACAGATGATGACACTGGAGAATACTGTAATTGTTTTATGTTTAACTGTCAGGCTGCTTAATGTGTTTATTGTGGTTGCTGGCAAAAGTT